TCCGTGTGTTTCTGACGGATTCTCAAAATCTGTAAATATCATTTTCGTGAACAACTTATGGAGCTGCATCCATTTATTCTATTTACAGCCTCGCACAAAACTTTTGCCACGTGATGTTGGTATTCGTATTAGTATATTGTATCGGAATTTCGAAGTTTCTACTGGTTGTCATTTTTCGATGTTCACTTTTTGATGGGGGAGTAGAAAAGTAATTGTTTTATTATAGAATTCTTGAAATGTTTGGTGGATCATTCATGTTCAGTTTTCTGATGTGGGGTAAAGTAATGAATTGGATTCTGTCTCCGCTTTTTTGTGGGAGCAGTTAGTTGCGTTGGTTTCTGTTTTTATGAAGATAAAGGAAGTTGGATTTAAGAATAATGCTTTGAAGTTTTGGGGTGTTGAATAATTGTTTGTTAGTTTTGTATGGTATTGAAAAGATTTTGATATTGCCATGTTTGTTAGCGAAAGTAGTCTGGTATTTTGTAGACTGTTCGAGGTATTTTCTGCTTATCATGCAATTAGTTGAAGATTTGGATTAATTGTATTGGCTATCCAGCTAGTTTCAACGACGTAAAAATCGACTCGAAAATTCTTGGAAGTTAACTACAGATTTGCATTGTTCGATTCAGAAAATTTTTGATGAAATCTTATAAAAAAATATCGTTATTTTCTTAAAATAGATTTTTGATGAAAGCATCAAATTCATTAAATTTCCTTTAACCGGTAACGTAATTGATCAGCAATGGTTAGTTCCTCTCCTACTTGTACTTAAACTTTTGTTTGAAGAAGATAAAGTGTTGATTCTTTTCCCTTGAGGAGTTTTCATCATTGTTTAGATAGATGAATATTCTATTTAATAATCTATTTATGACAGATAAAAAGCATAAATTTTGTCAATTATAATTTTCAAAGCCTCGATGTGACTTTTTTTTTTGTAAGTTTTATCGTTATCCATCATTTCAAGATAGATGAAAGTGAATGTACAGGATCTTTAAAACGATGGCGAAATAATATTCTTTGTAGTTCTTAACCTTGAATAACGGCAGAGATTTTGTTGAAGATTAAATTGCAAATTTTCAAATTGAAAACAAGTTGTTGTTCATGATCTACTTTGTTGCTGATGCGTTATTTCGAGATATGCATTGACCAATTTTGACAATATTGAATGGCAGTTTTGATAGAGATAACCAAACACTAGGAATATTTATGCAATATAGTAAAGATGAGAAAAAATACAACGAATAACATGCGATGTAAAAGTCTTTGAACAATTGTCGAATTATGTGAGACCATATTGCCAACTTATAAACCAATCAATTTTTTTTGTTGGAAACAGTAACGTCTTAACTACAAATTTTTCACCAGACTTATTTTTCTAGAACGAACCTACGCAGCAGAAGAAGTCAAAAGTCGAACATCTCTAAAAAAGTTCTTGTAACATTTTTGCAACTTGGAAATCTAATTTGTTACTAATAAAATAATTCATTTGACTTTCTTTCTATATTTAGTTAGATGTTCATGATGTATGATCTTTATTCAGATTAATATTTCATTTGATTTCAATTAGAAAAGTTATTCGAAATTGAAAAGAATCATTGTCACAAAGTATATCATGAAGAGCAACGTATTTTGTTGTGTATATTTGTAATTTAACCTTGAAGTAAATGTCTACCGTTGGTTGATGATAGAGAGAAAAAATAGAAAAGTTGTTATTCTGTCATTTCTTTCCAGCTTCCTCCACGCTCTCTTTCAACATATAAAAAATAATCGATCATTTTAAAATTTAAATTAAGCTCGTTGAAACCTTCGAAATTCTTATCAGAAAAGTCGATCTTTTTCATCATTTCATTAGTAGATTAATCAAGTACTCAAATCTATACATAATGATGGAAACTACAGTTCTCCAATAATTGTAGGGTGTGGATATGGGTGAGTGTGGACTGGGATTGGGCTGTGTGTGGGTGTTGATGGAGAGAAGACCCACACCCATACGGATGTGAGTGTGGGTGGGTGTGGGTTTGACTGTAAGTGTGAGCGGGGGATGGATATGAGAGTGCATATGTGGTTGTGTGGATGTGGGTCTTCTCTCTATCCATACCCATACCTTACCCACATCCCACGCTCACAATCCCCCCCCCCCCCCCCCCCCCCCCCCCCCCCAAACCAACCCCCCACCCACCTCCCCCCCCCGCCCACCACCCCTCCACACCCCCCCCACCCCATTT